TTATACGCTGCTGAAATTAAGAGAGAAAAAAATCTAAAAAAATACTCTAATAATACGACTGGACGAGTCGTCAAACGAAAACAACATAAGAAAAATTGAAACGAAGCAAACTGATTTTATTATGAACAAATAACGCCTAAGATATATAGATATGATTGTGATATGATATAGAATATGCTAAATAAGGTTTAATATGAATAAAGTACATGATTAAGGAAAATAGAGTCACGTTAATAAACTTTTTTTATAGCCAAATATCTTTATACATCCTTTCTAAGTCCACACTCTAACTCGATTTCAAACTTGGAACTTAACACTAAGTGGATACACGGCTAAATACAATTAAATCATTGATATTGTCGGAAGTTCTTGTCAAATAGGTTAATCAACACAAAACACGAGCGTGACATATTATCATACATCGCATGTAATAGTAAATTATTAATTTTATAGATTCATACCTCCATTTGGTCCTTACTTAAAAGAGGTATTAATGATAGAACTCTAATTCACCATAATTCGAATAATTCGTAAATTAAAAATAGATTACGTAACTACTACATATCTTAATAACATTTGAAGATATATTCGCTTTTGTAAATTGTAGTATAAAAATAAACGTTGGCAAATAGGCAAATTGTAATGTGAACATTAAATCTGGCAAATGATGTATTTTTTGTACCATATGGGCGAAAATCTCTAGTTGAAACACTGTGATTATTAAAAATTAGGTGATATTGTACTGATATAGTGATAACAAGGTGATTAAGTTATATAACATTTAAATAAGTAAAATACTGTAGTTTTACACACTAACTCTAGCACTAACGTTAATTATGACATCTCTTAAACCTTTTTCTTGCTATCTTTGTAATAATTCATACTCTTCAAAATCATCGTTAAGCTGTCATGAAATTACTAAACATAGTATGAATCGTATTGTTCCACACTACCAACACTTACCTACAATATCTGAAGGAATTATCAATCATTTTCGTGCTGTGCTTCTTCAAGATATTAATAGTAAACTGGGTTTTCATCGAACAAATGAAGGGTTAAAACATATACAATGGAATTTTCCAGAAAGCTTATTTTATTTTTTCTTTTCAAATGAATCCGGATTTTCATATCGACCATCTTTACGAAGATATTCATGTGTTTTTAAAGGACAAAATGGGTATAATCGAATAGGACAATACTGAAATGTGAGTTCTGGGGAAAAAATAAAAATAAAAATGGGTGTGAAATTTTTGTAGTAGTAGAAGGCAAGGATAATCAAGGTAACATGATTGAAAAAAATATAGAATTTATTTGGCGGGAAAAAATGATTACAAAACTAGTAGATAATAAAATACATTATATATCTCATGGAATACTAAAGTGTACTTTAGAGTTGCGACGTGAAACTGTTGAAATAATAAATTAATTATTTATATAGTAATCACTGTAAATTAACTACTATATTATAATATTAGTTTTTAATATTGCAAATAAATTGAGATACGATGCTAGTTAATGTAATATATTTGTATTTTATTTATCATTATTATTGTTATTATTTAAAATTTTGTTATTTCTATTACTTGTTTTGAACAAGTAATAGGTAATTTATTTATATTATAATATATTTGTCGATTCTCAAATTCACAAATCTGATATGTAGCCGATCGTTTTCCTTTTCCTATTCCTCCTCCCATAGTGGTATTACCAAAAATAATTTAACCTAAAAAAATCAAATTAGTATGTATATACGTACTGTATATATATTATAATTTAAAACAATTATAGATAGCTTATATGCTCATAGTTTTTTTTTCTACACTAGATGTAGTAAACCACCACAAACAAAGATTTTGTTGATATAGTTCCTTCATAAATAATGGTGTATGGCATGCTAAAACATGCATATAAGGTGTTATATCAGTTCATTGATATAACCTTTCTTGTATTATTTGACCATTTGAGGTTTTTTTTGTTGGTCTAGCAAATTCTTGAACCTATTTGCGGGCATCTTGTAAAAATTGATTGATTTATTCTTCTGTTAAACTATCACTTTGCATAGTACAATATAAAGAATAAAAATTTCGCCACAAGCTTTCAATATCACTACTATGATTTCTAATAATAAAATTAGAAACTGAAAATTTTTTAATAATTTTTAACTTAGCTGGTCCTATTATTGTACGCCAACTCCATTTTGTAGTTTTATTTTTTTTTCAGATGGAAGAAATTTAAAGCTAGTAATACCAATAGTTTGCATTATATGCTCAATCTTTTCTTGAGTAGATATTGAATTAGCTTGTTTTGTATCAAAAGCAATCAGATCATGCATTAGATCAAAAAAAAAACATTCAAGTAATATATCAATAATTCGAAGCATCATATGTAGATTATCAGGTATATAATATTTAAAAATAAGAAATGGTAATAAACTTGTGTGAATTCGACCTAATATTTTTTAAAATAAAGCAATAAATTAATATATTAATAGTATAGTATTTATAATTTTATATAATACATAGTAGTTTAATGCCTTTAAGATTTTTAGTATTTTGCCAATTTTATTTACATTCTACCATTCATTTTTGAGACAGTTATACTATAAACAAAAAAATTTGACGTTGGGCCATTTATTCCTAAAACAAGTGACATATATTTCCAATCTGCTATAAACCAAAATTCAATTTTCCAATGAAGATTATTTTTATCTCTAAAGCTTTTATAATGTAAACTTGTTAATTCTTCTATAATTTGTTAGTGTGCGATTGATAATGATTCATATTTTTTAGTTCTCGGATAAAGGCAAATACTATTAATATAATTTTTATTAATTAAATTTTATATTTTAAAAGTTATAATACGTACGTATGGTGCAGAAAATTTAAAAACCTTACTTTCTATATTAAAATAATAATAAATCAGTAGCTAATTTAAAATTAATTTCTTAAAATTATCGATCTTAATAGATTAATGGGTATAAAATAATGCGTCAAAAATAATATACTCTTAATTAGAGCTATTTTATGTATACGGCTATACCTTAAAAATAAGTAACTACTTAATTTAGCTTATTTCTAATGCAATAATTATTTTTTGTTCTATCTATAGTAATTGAGATTTTTAAATTTCTTACACTGTACGAATAACAATAATACTTACTAATGTTGATTATTTTGACTGTGTACTTTATTTTTTTCATTTAAAATATATGCAGTTAACATTACGTGGTTATTGTATTTGTCTACTTGTTATCCATCTCCACTCAACTTAATTTTAATAATATCATTTTGATATAAAACTGGATTATCACCTGTTGTTAAATCTGGAATTAGTGTAATTAATAATTTAGTTAAAGATTTTATTGTACTAATTCCTATTTGTTCCTTATTAATAAATATCTCATTATTTTCTTCTGCAGTAGGACAAATTGGTGGAAGTTCAACTGTAAGATTACTATCAAAACTTTTAATTAGAATATTTTTTTCCATAATTTTATTAATTTCTTTATAATATGCTGCTATAATATGCTCTCGTTTTAATAATAGTTGAACTGCCACCAAATGTCTATAGCTATCTCTAAAAATTAATTCTTTATCGCATGCATAAATACTAAAATCAATAATGATTGATGATGCCGATCTATCTTTAGATTCAATAAACTTGATTTTAACTAGTTTATTAGAGATGTTTAGTTCAAAACAATCTAGAAATATTATATTTTTCTAATAAAGTTTTAGAATAAGAATAAAGATTAGAAGCAAATTCTTTTAAACAGAAATTTTTTTGTGTATCTGATTTTAAATGTAGAAAATTTTTCTTTGAAATTCATTTTTTCGATGTGATTCAAAACATTGTAAATCCAAACCAAATAAAATTACTCCTGATAAATTTATATTTTTATTTTGTATTAATTTCTAGTTAAAAAATTAAATAGCTTATTAATAATAATTAAGATTTAATAATAAATTTTATATATATTTTTTTACCTGTACAAATTGCTTCACAGCATCACTAGCAGATTTTGTACTAATTATTTTGTGTTTTTGTCCAGTTTTTTCTTTTCAAATTAATTTAAACTTTACTTGTCCATTTGGTTGATAATTTGTTTGATATACAATATTTTGTTTATATATTAAAACTTGAACTTTATATTTATTTGGAATTTTATATCAACTTCTTTTTGTTTATTGTATATTTTGAGTTGGATAATAGCCCAAATTCAAAATTTTATATTGATAATTATAATTATGATTACCAATATACCATGTTATATCAATTTTAGGATAGTTATTTTTAAGCTTTAATATATGCATAGTTTTGTTTTGAGTAATTACATATAAAATTTATAAGTAATTATATACGATCAGGTATATAAATAATTAGGTATATATGTACAAAAAATTTATAAGTAATTAGATCACAATTAGGTTACAATTAGGTCACAATTAGATCACAATTAGGTCACAATTAGGTCACAATTAGGTTACAATTAGATACATATTTATAAGCATTAGGTTATAATTAGGTACACATATACAAAAAATTTATAAGTAATTAGGTCACAATTAGGTCACAGTTAGGTCATAATTAGGTCACAATTAGGTACATATTTATAAGCATCAGATTATAATCAGGTACATATGTACAAAAAATTTATAAGTAATTAGATCACAATTAGGTCACAGTTAGGTCACAATTAGGTTACAATTAGGTATATATTTATAAGCATCAGGTTACAATTAGATATATACGTACAAAAAATTTATAAGTAATTAGGTCACAGTTAGGTCACAATTAGGTACATATTTATAAGCATCAGGTTACAATCATGTATATACGTACAAAAAAATTTATAAGTAATTAGGTCACAATTAGGTACATATTTATAAGCATCAGGTTACAATCATGTACAGTAGCCATCAAAAGTAACATCTGATTTGTAGATTAATACATGTGAGCAAATAAAGGGGCTGTGATTACCCTTTCTGATGATACTCGAAGCAATTTTTTTTTTAATCTACTTTCTCAACTTCTGAATAAGCAAAAGAATAAAAAAAAGCCACATATCCACTACAAGATGTCATATATCTAATAACTAATAAAAATAAAGGTTTTTACCCTTATTTATACCAAAATATGTTTACCTAGTAAGTTGTATGAGAAATGGGTTGTAGACCTATGATGAGTTGATATTTTTTTAACAAACATTAGAGAACTAAAAAATTTAATATTTTACCACCATTTAGATGTTTTCTGGCCCTAAGGAAGCAAAAAAAGAGCGCACTAGTAAAAAAAGGCAAGGTAAGAATAGCATATGCATTGCACAGCTCTGTCAACAATCTGGGGTTAACACGGTTTGTTAGTTATAACTAGGGTTTCATATAACCTTGTGGTTAAGTTTTATATAGCAGTAAAAGGGCCATATTTGATAAATAGTAATATAATCAAATGTAAAATTTAATGCAAGAAAAAAAATATATACTAACATATATGAGTAAAAAAATGTTATTTTTTAGACAAACGAAAAAAGAAGTAGGAAAACTAACCTGACAAGTTAGAATATAATATCATATGATAAAAAGATGCAAAGATAGGCATTGAGTGTTGAGGTTTTGGGGTGTGTAGGTTTGGTAATGGTGTGAGAGTGTTTTGTGGGTGTAATTAATGTTTTTTAAATAAATATTTTAAAATTAAATAAAAAAATTAATAAAAATTTTTATTTTAAAATTTTTAAGAACTATCTTGTCCTATTTTTTGCTTATATTCATTCAATAATTGAAGTAAATTTGGGGTTTTATTATAATAACTATTATAATTGTGTTATAAAAAAGATCATAAAATGGCTTAAAATAGAAAAAATTGAATTATGGCATGAATAGTAAAGCTCTATAAATCTAAAATTATCAAAATACTTATAACCCATTAAGAAACAATATCCAATAGTTTAAGAGCCTTTTAAAAAAATATAAATGGTCTTTAAGCCATTTTAAAGAAGAGATAAATGAATCTTAATATGTTTATTTTTTGGAAGGTTATAGCTTAATGCCATGAAAGATTACATTAGTATTGAATATTCAAGTGCATTTAATAGTGTATTAGTTGAATATAAAAAAAAAAATTTATATTCATAGTGCAAAAATAAAATAAAATTGAAATTTTCATTTTATTAAAAAATCGGGCATTACTTTTGATGGCTACTGTACATACGTACAAAAAATTTATAAGTAATTAAGTCACAATTAGATACATATTTATAAGCATTAGGTTACAATCAGGTGCAAATTTATAAGTAAAATTCAGAAGTGATTTATAAGCAGTTCATTATCGGACTTACATTTTCTGATCAAAAAATCACTTTATTCTCAATAATCATGCCATATCATATAAATAATTGGCTCAAATTTTATTTAACTCACATTAAATTATCACAAAATTGGAGATTTTCGCCTATATACTAAATGGAACAATAAAGCACTTTACATATAAAAAAAATTTTTTTATTAAACACATACATATGGTTTAAGTAGTCTACGCTTGATGATCACGGATATGTTTAAATTTTATCTTCCCCAGTATCGGAAGCTCTACAGATACATAACTACTCTAACAACACCTGAATATTGTGCAATCACGTGAATATAAATCTATTATATAATTTGATGATTATAAATAAATAATTTGGGCTGCCGTCAATAGAAATCAAGCAAATCTACATTTGAAAAAAAATCAATACCTTAAATTTCACGGCTCATATCTCGAT